GAGAGAGAGAGAGAGAGAGAGAGAGAGAGAGAGAGAGAGAGTTTAGTTTTGTTATGGGACTATAAGACCCATGCAGAGTATGAGCACAAGGGTTAAGTGTCATGCCAATTCGATAATTTCCTCTTAGTTACTTTGGAAGCCTTTGAAGAGGATTAGTGATTGCAAGTGTATTCTTGGTGTGCTTTTGATTGAGAAATATGGGTTGCTTCTCTTTGTCATAGGTGTGCAACAACCTAATTTTTCAATATGGTATGTGTCTCCTTATATCTTTTTTAATCTTTTGTACATATCTATTTGTTTTGCCCAATTTACTTGTGTTTTTTCTTGCACCTTCAGTACCAAAAGGCTCTGTATTGGATTCTATTATTTTATCTGTGGATATGTTACTATTTTTTAAAAGATTATGATATTTTTTAACTTTTGTAAAAGCATTTTAATGTTGATCCTATGTAAATATGAAGCCTAATTGAGTTAGCACACAAGAATGAAATTCTTTTGTGCTCCTTTTCATAAATGATATATCTCTCATTTTGATTGGGATCAAATGTTTTATGCAATTTGTGATTAACTACCCATACATTGAGGAATCTATCTCTTGTTCTCTTTCTTAAGTCTGAGATATAGTCACATGCTCTTAAGTTGCTTCTTAGTTTTGCAATATTTAACGTGTGTTCACTGTTTTATTTTTTATTATAAATTTTTTTTTTTTCAAAAATGGTGAGCAAATTGAGTGTCATTTCAGGATGTTTATTTGTGACAATATGATTTCCATCTTGAATTCGCATGTGGAGAAACAATTTTTTGTTTCTTGAAGATTGAACAATTAGTATGTTTGGTTGAAATACTAAAGCAAAAAACCATTTTCAAGTAGCTACAATGAAGACAATAGATAGTGCTATGAAAATTGCTGGATAAATGGGCATTGGTGAAGAAAATATTTGATATTTATAAAGACCAATGAGCTCTCTTAAATTGCAAGCGTGAGGTTGCACCTAAGATCCCTCTTCAACAAGAGCTTCATGTATATCAATTAAGCTCTTTTTTATAGATAAATGGACAGAAGACAAACTATTATGGGTAGATAGAGTTGTAGTTGTGCAGTAAATATTTACTTCTTAGAGTTTGTATATATTGATAACACTTAATGTGCTAAATCAAGAATATTTTTAATTATTGCTATGAATACTACTTTTATTACAGAGTTGTAGTTGTACAGTATATATATATATATTCAACTGTACTACAAATTACTAATAGTTATAACGTCAACTATTATAAAGAATTAGTTGCGGTTTGAACCGCTACTCACTACTAGAAAGTTAGATTTTTTTGCAGTAGTAGTCAGGAGCGGTTTTAGAACGGATGGATGTACCCATTTGAAAGGTAACATATATAACTTATTATCTCTATTTAGTCACATATATGATAATAATTTTAAAAGTTCATGTCTTTTGCAGATTCTTCTTGATTTTAAAGACTATGTTGGTAATAAAGCATAACCCGAGGGTTCCATTGCAGAGGGATTTATTGTTGAGGATGGGATTTTATTTTGTTCCAAATATTTGGAGGGGTACAACCAAAATATTAGAGCAAATTCATTTTCACTTGAAAAGGAAGATGTGTTTCTGTTCTCCAGTGGTGGAATTTCATTGGAGAATGTCTTTTCTGTTGTGCTAGATGAGAAATCATTAACACAAGCACATAGATACATGCTACATCATTGTGACAGTCTTATACCACTTAGAGAACGTTTCAAAGATGGTGAGAAAAGGAAGAGATGTCAGCACACACATCTTACAACTAGGGATATCAAGAAACTCATTAATGAAAAATTTCATGAGTGGTTCAGAATAACAATAAACTCTAAACATAATGTTTTCATTTAATTTTGAATGTTTAAATTTATGTAAAGGCTTTTTTTTTTCTTCGATCATAGGTGATTGTGGTTCGGAAGTTATAGATGAAATTAAGGTCCTGACCAAGGGGCCCAATAAAATTGCACATGCATATAAAGGTATTTTTATTAATGGATATACCTTTCATGTAAAGACAAGAGATGAGAATAAGAAAACTAAGAATTATGGTGTTGTTAATCATACAGAAATTGAAAATTTCAATTACTTCGAGAAAATTAATGATATAATCGAGATAAATTATTCAGACAATTTCAAAGTGATACTATTCAAATGCGATTGGGCAAACACAACTAGAATGGGTGTAAAAGCAAGATCAGTTTGGTTATACTTTGGTAAATTTTTCACGTCTTATATACACTGGTGATAAATTAGAAGATGATCTATTTGTTTTTTCTTCACAAGTACAACCATTCTACTACATTCAAGTTCCTAAAAATACAAATTGGAATTTTGTTGTTCATGTAAGACCCAAAGACTATAAAATTCAAGTATTTCTCATAGCATACAAATGTAAGTAGGGACATATATATGTTTATACTTTAATGTTTTCTAATATTTCCTTCTTTATTATCATGATTTATGTTTCTAATATTTCATGCTTCATTATATGCAAATGTAAGTAGGGACATATGTTTTTTACTTTAATGTTTTCTAATATTTTCTACTTTATTATCATGATTTATGTTTCTAATATTTCATGCTTCATTATATGCAAATGTAAGTAAGGACATATGTTTCTACTTTAAATGTTTTCTAATATTTCCTGCTTTATTACCATGATTTATGTTTCTAATATTTCATGCTTCATTATATGCAAACAAATGTAACATATCTATATTCTTATTTCTTTTGTGAGTTTTGATATTAAATTAAACTTTACATTTGCAGGACATGACATGGACAAATACATTCAAGCGAGCTAAGAAGGTCGTATCAAGGAGTGGGTACTGGTGTAGTAGAGGATCTGAAACCCCTTATACTCCAATCCACCCAGATTCTACTAGTGAGCAAACACAAGAGGAGAATCAGCGCAGTGGCACCTCAATAATCACCACGTCATTCTACTTATGAGCGGATTCAGACTCCAAATGATGGGATATGACTTATAGGTTTGATTTATTCTTTTTTTAAATAAGTATAAGTAATCGTGTAATTATTCTAATGAAAAATGTTATGCACAGATGAGCAAGGTGTGCCTGTACGTCATAGGGGGCGCACCACGTGCATTGACATACAAAACATGCGGCTAGGTACACATGTTTATATAGAGGTGAATGAGAATAATGTGCCAAGCAACATTTCAGAGCCTATCATACTAGGTTCATATCTAGGTGTCATTGCTAAAGATCCAGTACTGGCACCTATATCCTTTCCAGATTTGAGAAATAAGGGTATGGAGCTCTTCAAGAAAAAAATGTTAGCTGAAGTGGAGGTAAGTAAAATATTAAATAAATTTCAATATCTTTCTTTATGTTATGAATAAAAAAAATATTTCTTTATATTATAGTCAAAGTTTGCCTTTCCTGGTTATATACGTCACTGGATTCTTCAATCCCTTGGATTTAAGTGGCGTAACCATATGACTAATTTAAAAGCTGAGCACTGGGATAGCCATCATATCGAGGAAATTATGGAGTCTATTCCAGCTAGTGTTAATGCAGCACAATGGTGATAGCTAGTCACCCAGTGGTCACAAACAAAAGATAAGGTTAGTACCATTATTATATTTAATTATATTTTTTTATAAATCAACATGAAGTTAAATTCATATGTAACAGGAGAGGGCTACAATAAATATTACAAATGCAAAGAAATAGACTTATCCTCACACTATGTGGCATATGAGTTCTGTTCGCATGCAACAAGAGATTATATATATTTAGATTTATATAAATTTTATATTCGCATAGCTAGACTAATTATTTAACTATTAAATTTGTTAATGCTATAGGTTATCAAGGACAGATTATTATTATTGAGAACCAATAGACTTCACAAAGATGGCATCTGGTCATCTGAAGATGCTAAAAAAAGATGTGCGATTTCAATCTTGGTATAAACTTTTTATACATAATTCATTATTAATTTTTTTTTTAATAAAAGATAATTAAATTTATTATAATATAGATACAAGCTTGCGAGCTTTTGGTTGTGGATGGGCTGACACCAGAGAATGGGAATATGGAGGCTAACGAAAGGGAGTTCAGTATGGTTATGGGACCTAAACACCCGGGTAGAGTCAAAACTCAAGAATTTGGTGTCACTCCTATACGATATTTTCCTTATAGCATAAACAAGGGCAGGAATGGCGGTGGAAACAGTTTAAGTCAAATAGTAAATTTCAGAGAGGAGATCAACTCATTACGTACTGAAGTGAGACAATTCATGCAAGAATTTTGAATGCAGCATCCACCTCAAGGAAGCTCACAAATGGTATGTAAAATTTCACATTCTAATTTTAATATTGGTTATTTGAATACTAATATTTTACAATCTTCTTATACTTGATAGGGTGGCAATAAAGCTTCTTTTGAAAGATGATGTTATAAAAGAAAGAGAATGGTGTTTTGAAGATAACTCATATTTGTGCAAATTGTTTTGAAATGCATCTTGGTATGGAAGTCTACTTTTTTGGGATGTTGCTTAAAATTTTGATATTGTAGATTACCAAATATGAATGATGAATGCTCTTCTCTTTTTTGATATTATCTAGTATTATTTTTATTTTTTGGTGGCCATTACTTGATTGTTTTAGGCACTTTTCACAGCTCTTATATATATTTGTGGGCACTGTATTTGTGTGGTTGTATGAAGCTTGCCTTTTGGCTTTATTTGTGTTTATATAATTCTTCTCTTTTGGGAATATTGGTTTGATTGGAGATGATGGCGCTTGGGTGTTACTTTTTTGGGTTATTTCTAGTGATTTTTGCTTTTTCTGAATTTTGCTAGCTCTTAATATTTTCTTCATATGTTGTCATTTGGAATATTTATAAATTTTCTGGCGAATAGTGTATGACATTCATCAAGCTGTCAAAACATCGCATCATAATGAAATAGTAAGACTTGTACCACTAAGATACTTGACAATTAAAAATTTCCTGAATCTGATCTCTCTCTGTAGACATCGAGAAGTGCAAACTACTAATAATTGTCATCTCAATACTCAACGATCTCAGTTTAAGTGGTCCATCATCTCAATACTAAGCATTCTCAGTTTAATTGATCCATCAATGTTGCTAATTGAGCCAATAAGAAGTCTCGCCTCCTTAAAAAATCTGATAATTATGGAGAATGATAAGCAACATGAGCTCTACCGATTGGTTGAAGGCCCTAATTGATACAAGATTTCTCATATTCCTTATGTTAATATTTCTACCGATTAGGACCAACTGCTTCAATTAATTTTTAAAGTTTGTAGTATAAAAAAAAAAACATAGAAGCGATCGAACTTCTTTCTTCTTATGTTATTTTCAAAGTTTTTCATGTTCTCTTGTTTGAGTCATTTGACTCAATTATGTAGTTCAATATTCTCTTGTTGTTGTTGTGAATCTCTATGATTTAGCTAGTATTTTTGTTTCAGCTACATCTCCTATTTATGTGGGTTTTAGGTTTCGGTTTGGTGAATGTCTCATATTTGTTTTCTATAGTCATTCAGGTTTCACATTTAAAAAAAAAATTCTGGAATGTAGTAGCGGTTATAACTACCACTACTATCCAGAATTATGGTGGTTAAAACTTCCATATTACTGGGAATCGTTTTCCTTGAGAGTTTCTGTGGCGGTTATAATCGGTACAATTCTGGAGATTTGCACCGGTTATAACCGTTGCTAAAGCAGTAAATAAGCAGTAAATACGCAGCATTCAAATCTTACTCTGCGTTCGGATTGCGTACACAATAATTTCTCCGTTATTGGGCGTTCTGTTGGTTCTTCTTTGCTTATCAAGTTTGGGCCTTTTTTTGAGAATTGGTTTTTTGCCTCCCTGATTTCTTTTCTCTTGTTTATTGTAATATGTAAGATCATTGACTCCTAGGTTTTGATTCAAATGTTATAATTTTAGAGGGCTTTTGATCTTTTAAAGACTTGCAACCTATATTTCTAATTAAAGCGTATGCCCTCTGTGGTTTTTTATCACAAGAAAAGGCTTCATTTGGAGCAATGTTCTTATTGCTTTGCAAATCGCAACAACGAGATTTTTGTTTGACACTATCATTTTTGCTACTTTTATGAAATTTTTGTGCTATGAAGCTGCTTTTTACCGTAGCTTTAAAAAAATTATTTTTTCCACAAGTTTTATAATCACCTTTATAAAATGCTGCAACCATCTCAAACAAATCCTTAGTTACTTTCCCTACAATAATTTCTCAATCAACTTTATAAAATATTGCACTCATCCCCAACAAACCTTAAGTCTTAACAATTCCTTTCACCAGAAAAAAAAAAAAAAAAAATCCAAAATTCATAAATTCAAAAACATAAAAATGAATAATTAAAGTAATTTAACCCGATTTACTATTCAAAAAATAAAGCATATTTTATGATAACGTCATAAATTTTTTTTTCTGCCTCTTCTTGCTTAGCTAAAGAACCGTTAGAAGGCATGCGTCCATCTTTCATCACCTCAGACTTCGTTGTTTAGAATGTCTGTTTCAATAACTTCGAGAGTTTCTTTCCTCAAATGCAATTAATGGTCTTGAAATTCGGTTCCAAAGGTGTAAATGTCAACAAATATAGCCTTTTTAAAATAGCTAAACCTTATTGAAAGCTTTAGAAATTTCTCAAAACTATGGACTTGCTTCTTACTACAAATATGCCAAAAAGTACTTCTCAAGAAAATTGATAGAAAAAAAAAAACAATCCTAACGTTAGCTCATAAATACTTTTCTATTTACAGATTCCGAAGTCCTCCTCTCCACATGCAGCCCACATGCAAAGATTAGGGTCATAAGGAATAAAATATTACGTTACCAAACTATCACAAGTAAAGATATTGCAGAGAAGAAATTATATATGTAGTTGTTCTTGAATTTGTTGGCAAGTCTTTGTCAGTCCTGTATAGTTTACTACTAAACTCTCCTACACAGCACACTCCACTAATATATGAAATATGTACATCAACATCAATGAAATTATCTAGAAAATTGAAGGAGGAAAGCATACTACAAATTCGGGTCTTCTAATTAATACTATATTAAGGCTTTGGAGTCTTCTGCCAACCATGTGAAGCATTATTGGATTACACTACACACTCCATAATAGAAAGATAGGCTTTTTTTTTTGTTATAATTTGCATTATTGGCCTGATTATATAACATTATCAAGCATATTGTACATTACTGTCACTATAAATTTTAAGTAGATGAAAGTATAACGTTAAAAGAAAGAAAGAGAGGAAGAAGACAAGAGAAAGGAGATTGAGATGTGTGGGGGATTTTTTGCGTTGTTGATTGTGTTGTTCATGGCGATGGTAAGAGGAGGAGAAGCACAGTTAAGACAGAATTTTTATAGAGTTCAGTGCCCAAATGTCGAGTTGATTGTAAGGCAGGCCGTAATGAAGAAGATGAGCCAAACTTTTGTGACGGTTCCAGCAACACTAAGGCTCTTTTTTCATGATTGTTTTGTTGAGGTAACTATCATATAATATTGCGACTTTCTGTCAAAATTTTATAGAAATTTGATTTTGTGTCTTGGGAATTATTTTGTAGAAGATTAGCAAGAATTATGAAAGATTTTGAGTTCATGTAACTACTTTAAATTCGCTTCTAGCAGTGATCGATTCCTTTTCATAGTTTTGCAATCATAATTTTCTGCTGTGACGCTTTAACACTTTCATATTTCGTCTTGTACAGGCAAACAGAAAGTGGCCATGATAAGCTCTGTTTACTTAGAGATTATTACGTGCGGAGTCTAGACTGAAGTTGCATCCGGTTTTTGTGAGTGTGCACAGTAAAAATACCGTGGTGAATAATAACTGTGCTTTTACTACGCTTTAATTATGCACACTCAAAAAATAGGATGGTTCTATTGTTTGGACTCGTCACAGAATAACTCTCCTGTTTACTGGAATCCTTGTATGCAATGAAAATAAAAGCTTCTTCCTAAGATAAACTCTTTATAAAATAATCCTAAAAATATTTTCCATATTTTGAGATAAGGAAAGCAAAATCTTCAAATTGTAATGAACTGTACGTACCTGACGTGAGCAAAAGCAAAAGTAGCTTATTGGAAGTAGTGCTTGCACACAACTCTCCTTGGCCTATTGGTTGAGAGCTTAGGCTTCCAATTAAGAGGTCCAGGGTCGAGTCTATGTGTATGCGTTGTGTGTGTGAGTTTGCATTAAATGGCCTAAATGTCCCAAAAAAAAAAAAATAGTGCTTGCTGCTGAATTTTTCCTGCTTACACCCTAATATTGCTTACTAATATGTTCTTCCTTTTTAGCAATACATAAAGCTGGCCAAGGCTTGAGATATACCTCTTTGCCCAGATCATTTTTCTTCAAAAAAACATAGTTAAAAACTTCAATCTCTCCAAATTTTTTACTAAATTAATTTCACCTTAAATCAAACACAAAACAACAGTACTATATTTTCAATTGATATTTTTACTTTACATTATATTCATTTTCAGGCAAAACAAATACACACTTAGTTTATTCATAAACTTGATTTATAGGGCTGCGACGGATCAATCCTAATTCAATCTACGAAGGGAGATACTGAAAAGGATGCAAGTGACAATCTCTCCCTCGCCGGAGATGGCTTCGACACGGTTATAAAGGCCAAGCAAGCGGTGGAGGCTGCTTGCCCCGGTGTAGTCTCATGTGCTGATATCTTGGCCATAGCTGCTAGAGATGTTGTTCTTATGGTAAGTATCTCTTCATATAAATTAGTAAATATCTCTATAAGTTATGCATATTCCAGGATGTTTAATTGATTGAAATAACTAAGTTATTCCACAATTCAATTCTTTGAGCAGTCAGGCGGACCGAACTTCTCGGTCGAACTCGGGCGGCGAGATGGGCTGGTATCTCATCGGTGGCGGGTCCCTGGAAATCTCCCTACACCCGAGCTCAGCTTTAACTTACTATCCTGGATATTTCGCAAAAATAACTTATCGGTCACCGATATGATAGCCCTTTCGGGCGCGCATACAATTGGGTTCGCTCACTGCAACCGTTTTGCCAAACGTCTGTATTCATTTAATGCGACCCACAAGGTCGACCCGTCCCTCAACCCAACATATGCACGACAATTGATGCAGGCCTGCCCGAGGAATGTGGACCCAAGGGTAGCAATTAGCATGGACCCACAAACCCCAAACGTGTTTGATAACGCTTACTACCGTGAGTTGGTGAATGGGAGGGGGATATTCAGTTCAGATCAAGTGCTTTTCGGCAATCCCATATCAAAGCCGATAGTAAACAACTTCGCTTTCAATCCTCAGAGCTTCACCTCGGCGTTTTCACAAGCCATGATCAGACTGGGGCGGGTAGGAGTGAAGACTGGGAAAAATGGGGAGATCAGGAGAGATTGTTCTCGCTTCAATTGAATTTGTTTCAATATTATTATTTAGTCGATATATTTGAGATAGAATTTGGTTAATTTCTATTGAGAATAATGTCTCAATTTGTATTTAAAGTAGTATTTTGATGTTTCCATGATTGTTTTGGTTTATTATTTGTTGGTTTCTAGCAAAATCCAGCATTTGGCTGTTTGTTTTCAGTTTCAGCTTTGATGCTGCAGTTTTTAATTCTATTTTCTTTTTGGCTTTTGCTATGTCATCAAGCTATCACCAAAAAATAAATACTGATATGTTGGCAATCATCATGATAGACTAAGGCCTCGTTTGGAATTAATACTTTTGTATTAAAAAGCTGTTTTAAGAAGCAGCAAGAAAGCCGCCCCAAACAAAGTTTAAGCATATTAACAAAAAACATGTTCAACATATCAAGGAAAAATGATTTTGAGCTACGGCTTGAGCAATATTTTTCTTAGGAACATTTAGGCCAACTAAAGTAAACTCTCACGCACATCCTGACATACGCAAGACTCGAACCCAAAACCTTTTAGTTGATATCCAAAGCTCCCAACCAACAGACCAATGAGAGATACGTGCTTTAGCGATAAAGCATCCACCTTATTTTTCAGTCATATTTTAATGTAATTTACTGCAAATAAATGCTAAAATTGAAGGAACTTTTCTAGCCTAATCTATGCAGAACTATATACTTTTGAACGTGCATTAACTGCTATTTGAGGCTTTCGGTACTACAGTTGGATTTGAAAAGGCTGATTCTGAATTTTCTGAAAATTATTGTCCCTATGCTGTACTTTGTCTCAATTGCTTTGTGTCAAAATATTCTTTTTTGATGGGGAGCATTTCTCCATGTTCAGCACAAACCAACTGTATTTCTTTAATAATATATGAGCTTTCTGAATCTCTAAAAGATGGCACAAGATTTTATGGCTGAAGAGTGAACTGTTCATAAGACATGGAAGAGGTTTTTTCCTCGGGATATTGAGAAAATTAAACTACATGGCCTGTTGATTGCCAGCCAAAGCTGTTAAATACTAGAATAAGTTAGTTTGCATGAGGCAAAGTTGCTGATATAGGAAGTCCCGAGAAATTGTAATTCGGATGGGAAAAATATGGTGGAATATGTGGTTCATTAGCTAAAGGAGGTGGCTGCCTGTCCGCAGTGATGGATTTGAACAACATACTTTATGATTTCTCACTCAGCTCAGTTAAAGATAAATAAAATAATCATTTTTCAAATTTTCTTTTGTTAGATCAAAAGGTGCAGCATATATTTCGTCTAGTGTGTAAATAGACTTTTCAAGTTTGATTCATTGATTTTCTTTTAGTTGTTTATATTTTGTTCGAGTTCATTGATATTTGATATTTGTTTGGGAAAAAAAAATATTTGATATTTGTTTATTTGAGGTTGTCTTTGATAGACTCACTAAGATTGAGTTACTAAAAAAAAAACATAAAACAATATACAATGGAGACTCCCAAGTAACGGTTGGAATAAAAAAGGCTTTGGGAACAAGAGAAGGCTGAAGAGAAAAGAAAAAGAGACTAGAAATTTTATTTCTCACTTTTTAGCTTGATGCAAACTCAAAGACACCATCACTCATTATACTAGTAGTACAATATTAGGATTATGCCAACACAATTTAATCTAATGGTTACAAGTGACTCTCTAGAGTATTCTCATATCTTCGATCATAAATGACATTAAATGCTTATTCTAAACATTTTTTAAGAATTACTCCTTAATAGATTTCTAGGGTATTCTTCAATATATTTTTCTAGATTATGGGTTTCAATCAAAAGCCCAAATAACAATGAGTCAAATTAAGTTTAATTTTCAACATCCCCCCTTAAACTTAATTCTGTAACCCCAAGAAAATTTCTCATCTTGATATAGTCTTCATAATTGAGTGGCTTAATTAGTAAATATCTTAGCAATTTGGTCTTGTGACTTCATATATTCCGCTTGCACTTCCTTCCTTGTAATGCATTCTCTGATATGATGATAGCGTGTATCAATGTGTTTGCTTCTATCATGAAAAACTAGATTTTTGGCTAATGTTATTATAAACTTATTATCAACATGAATCTTCGTTGCTCTTCTTGAGGTAAGCTTAATTCTTTTAACAAGTTTCAAAGCTAGATTGTATGACAAACACAAGATGTTGCAGCTACATACTTTGCTTCACAAGTAGATAGATTGACAATTGGTTGTTTCTTTGATATCCAAGTGAAAGATGTGTCTCCCATGAAGAACACATAACCAGTGGTGCTCTTTCTATCATCTATGTCGCCAGCGAATCACTGTTGCTATGTCCTATAAGTCTAAAATCATTAGATGAGGAGTAGAGTATGCAAAAGTTAATTGTACCTTTGATATATCGTATGATTCTTTTAGCATTCTTTAAGTGACTGGTGATTTGAGTCTCCATATTAGCGACTAACAAGTCCAACAACATAAAGAATACCATGACTTGTTCATATTAAGTAGAGAAAACTCTCAACTAGGCTCTTGAAAAATGTAGTATCGACTCTTTCTCCTTCATCGTGCTTTGATAGCTTGACTCCACATTCAATAAGAGTATTTATAGGGTTTCAATTATCCATCTGGAATGTCTTCAGCATTTCCTTTGCATAGCTTTCTTATGAGATAAATATTCCATCTTCCATTTGATGGGACTTCAATGCTCAAGTAATAGGCTATGAGCCCAATATCAGTCATCTCGAATTCTTTAGTCATTACTTGTTTGAATTCTTGAAACATAATTTGAATATTCTGGTGAAGATCAAATCATCAATATACAAGCAAATAGTTAAGACATCTTTGTTCTTATTCTTGATGTAAAGAGCATGTTCATAAAGGCATTTTATAAAACCTTTATCTTGTAGGTACTTATCTATCTGACTATTCCATACTCTTGGTACTTGTTTCAACCCGTATAGTGACTTCTTTAACTTTAAAATTTTATCTTCTTGCCTTTTAACTTCGTATCCTAGTGGTTGTTGAATATATACTTCTTTTTATATAACTCCATTCAAGAAGGCTGATTATACATCCATTTGATGTGTCTTCCGTTTATTTTGAGCTACCAAGGAGATGATTAGTCTAATTATTTCTAAGCGAGCAATAGAAGCAAATACCTCATCATAGTAGATGTCTGCTCTTTGACTATAATCTTTTGTCACTAGTCTTGCCTTGTTTCTTTCAATTTCTTCTTTGACATTTTTCTTTGCTTTGTACACCCATGTCGCGCCAATTGTTTTGTGTCCTTGAGGAAGTGAAGTTAGCTCACATGTGTCGTTCTTCTCAATTGTCTTGATTTCTTCATCCATAGCATCCTTCCACTTCTTGTTTTGTGTGGCTTCTTAAAAATTCATAGGCTCACAATCTACAAAGAGGCAAAAGAATATAAGATTTTCTTGATTCTCTATTACCTTGTATATATCTCATAAGCTCCTGAATCATGGTATTTTTCACTTGAGTTTTCTTGATTATCTATAGTTGGTATTGCTTGTGGAGTAGTAGGCTCCACTCTTGCTTGCTCCATCCTTGGTTGCTCCGTATCTTCTTCTTCACAATGATAATCTTTATCATTTGATCCCCATTCCCATTCTCCTTCTTCATCAAATATAACATCTCGGCTGATAATTATCTTTCTAATATTTGAATTGTATAGCTTATATCCATTTGAGTTGTTGTCGTAGCTAATGAAAATAAACTTCTCTTTTGTCATCTAACTTACTTCTTTACATGTTAGGTATATGCACATGAGCTACGCTTCCAAAAACCTTTATGTGGGAGATGCCGGGCTTTCTTCTGCTCCATACTTCTTGTGGATTCAGTCCCCACACACTTCTTGTTGGTGAATGATTTATCAAATAAACTGCATATGAGATCGTTTCTGACCAAAATTCCTTCGACGGCTCTTACTTTTAAGCATACTCCTCATCATGTCAAGGATGTTTTTGATCTTCCTTTCTTCTACTCTATTTTGTTGAGGGGGTCGTGAGACAATTAGAGATCAACGTATCCCCTTGACATAACAGAATTCTTGGAATTCTTTTGAAGTGAATTCTCCTCCTCGATTAGATCGCATAGCCTTGATCTTGAGTCCACTTTCTTTCTCAACGGCAGCCTTGAATTTCTTAAATACACCAAATACATCTAATTTTTGCTTCAAAAAGTACACCCATACTTTTTGTGAGAAATCATCAATGAAGAGAAGAAAGTAGTTACTCTTACCTAGTGAGCTTGGCTTTATTGGTCCATATACATATATTTATATAAGCTCCAATGGCTTTTAAGCTCTCAAACTTAATTCTCTTGGAATTTTTTTTTTTTTTTGAAATGCTTCCCAAATAGACATGCTTCACATATTTGATCGGGATGCTTGATGCAAGGAAGACCTCGTACCATCTCTTTCTTTGAAAGCAGCTCCAGTCATCCGAAGTTGTGATGCCCAAATTGGAGGTGTCATTACCAAGAAACATCTTTATAACAAGTTTTGAGGCACTTGGCAACATCATTTTGAATGTTTAGCAAAAACATTCTATTTCTTGACATTGGCACTTTTGCAATTAAAGTATTAATATAATCTTTTAAGAAGATAATTATTTTTTAAATGAATATCATATCATTTCTCCAAAAGTTGCCCCAAACTTAAAATATTAATCTTCATATTTTGACATTGGAAATAAATTGATGCTTCCCATTCTTTAAGTGAATAAAGATATTACCTTTGCCTTTTACTTCTATTTTTGAGTCATCTCCGAAGGATACATTTACGCCCACCAATTCATCAAGCTCCACGAAAATGCTTCTTTTTCACACATGTCACTTGTTCCAGTGTCTAGGTATCATGTTCCATCTTCACATCTTTCATTATTTTTGTAGTCTAGCAATAATGTGTCATCTTATTTTCTTTCTTCTTCTACGTAGTTGAATCTTTCATTGAATTTACTTTTGGGCGCTCTACATTCTTTAGAATAATGCCCAAATTTATTACAATTGT